CTGGTTGGTTTGATGTTGGTTGGTTTCTTGGTTTGTTGGTTGGTTGGTTTGTGTTGGTTGGTTTCTTGGTTTGCTGGTTGGTTTCTTGGTTTGTTCTTTTATGCTTTCTTGGTTGGTTGGATTGTTGCCCTGTTTGTTTTTTTGGGTGGTTTCTTTCTTTGTTGGTTTTTGGTTTGCTGTTGGTTGGTTTGTTGGTTTGTTGTTGGTTGTTTGGTTGGTTGGTTGGTTGGTTTGTTTTTTGGTTTGTTGGATGGTTTGTTGGTTGTTTCTTGGTTTCTTGGCTTGGTTTGTTTGTTTGTTGGTTTGTTGGGTGGTTTGTTGTTTTGTTTGTTTCTTGGTTTCTTGACTTTGTTTGTTTGTTGGTTGGTTTGTTGTTGGTTGGTTTGTTGGATGTCTTTTGTATATTATATTATATTAGATACTTGTTTTCCAACATTGTGTATATCTTTTGTAAATAATTCTATGTTTCTTTTGTATATTATGTTATATTAGATGTATTTTGTTTTCTATCTTTGTGTACATCTTTTGTGAATAATTTTATATGTGTCTTTTGTATATTATGTTATATTAGATGTATTTTGTTTTCCCACATTGTGTATATCTTTTGTAAATAATTTTAGGTGTCTTTTGTATGTAATATTAATAATTGTTATATAAGATGTATTTTTTTTGAAAATTATTTATATCTTGTTTAGTGGTGTAAAAGAATGAGAAATGTAAAGTTTAGTTTATCACACCGACTGGTTTGTTTGTTGACAATTGAAAACAATGGCATTCTAACAATATTAATCAACAGTATTGTACCTGGTTTAACCAAGAAGATTTCAACCATTGGTAGAAGCTTACGTTCCGCTAAATCCTATTATTGGAACACCCCGATTCGGCGCCTCAATATCACAAATCTTTTCAACATCAAAAATTTAACAGTAAATGACTCTGGTGTCTTCACTTTTGTAGCAGACAAAGGCGAACTAAAAGCAAAATTTGATTTTCTATTGTGTATGGTTAGGAAGTATAGCGAAGAACGGCAATACCAGACCACAATTTCAATGGCAACAGCAGACAAACTAGACAACTGTTCCACTTTTATACATAAGCCTTGTTGTTTACCTGTGTTTCCTTTGGGATCAACTGATGATGACGTCTGTGTTTCTGGCAACATTACTTTAGAAAGCACAACTGGGCCTAACGTTTTGTTGATTGTTGCCATTACTGTTTTTATTTTAAGTTTCTTTTTGGTACTTATTCCCGCTGTCGTCATGTGTTGGAGAAAACAGTACAGGGCCAAACGAAATAACACTAATAAGTCTCGTGCAACATTACGTGCGGTAGTGCAAGCTATGAATGTCTGTGTTCCTACCATACCTAATATACATGTAGCAGAAAATTGTGCCAAGGAAGAACTAGATCCAAACACTTTCTCCCTACGAGGCTTCCAATCGCACGAAACTACGTCAGTTGCGATTATAGAAGAGGCACGATCTTGTACTGCTGCTGACACGGCCATTACTACACAAGCCGAAATCCATCAGTACAGTAACGATGATACACCCAGACATTTTAGTGACACTGACATCAACTCGGTATGTGACAGTACCGGTACTACCCATTCTATTCCAAGAAATAGTTTGTATGAACACCAACCTGAAAACATCAACTCTGAATTTTACAGTACCGGTACTACCCATTCTATTCCAACAAATAGCTTGTATGGACAGCAATCTTAAAACATTACCTCGGTACGTGACAGTACCGGTAGTACGGAGGACTTGGGCATCCTGTATCGAAGTTGTCCAGCAACGATAACGGACGAGTGACCAATGGCAGCATTTCTATTCTAGTGCAGATCACCAGAAAATAAGTCTTAAACGTAGATGAGATTGATGTTCTAGTGAAGTCGCTCAAGTCGGTTCAGACAATGTTCACACGGAGTAGAAAGCTGTGATCAGCGATATTACGAGAATACTGTGTATAATATGCCACTTCAGTACAATTAGAAGAAAGGAGTACGTATGTTAAATACCCTTCTTGGTATTCTAAAGCTTCTTGTAAAACATACACATTTAAAACATGCAGCACTGCCTGTATTCTATCTACAGAGCTATTAAACCAGAGTCGGTGTCAAACTTCTGAGTCGTCTTGTGTGATTTAGCTGACATACACTGTGTACATATACTGGTTTAATTATTGCTTGACTTGTGTATTCCTAACTAGGTACATATGGAGAACAATTAAGAACGATCTTGACAAGCTTGTTTTCTTGACCAATTTCATTATGAAACATATACGCTCACAGACAATTTTTATGCATTCCTCATTTGCATTTCATAGTGTTTGACTTTAATCAGTCACGACAATAATCGTATCAAATGGAAAGGTAGAGCGAGAACTTTTTCTTGTAAATCTGGCCAACAGCGTGAAGTACAACTGTACATACGTATCAACAGTTATGGTAACAACGTTATGCACATCGACAATTGTTAATGATAACGCCACTGAACGTTTTAGACATCATCAGCTACTACATCAGCATTGAAAAGTTACGCCCATGAAGTTGAAACCAGCTGCGCCACTGCCCACACCCTAGATTCACATGAGAGGTTTAATTCAAATGTGGTTTAACCAAATGGGGTTAGGCACGATAAAATGCTACATGTAATAGTGTTACCAGTTCACATTAGATAGGTCACCGATCTTTACTAAGTTCAGTTACCAACACCGTTGGTATGTTTCATCAGTGAAGATGAAGAATTCGGGGAGGGAGCCGAAGATGTTATGTGGCAAGATACTGAAGTATTTTCCCAGACAATGATGAATGGATGAAGACCTTTATTGTACACACATACACGCTGGGTTAAGTACAGGTTACAACAAAAGAATAGAATGTATGTAAAGTTACATATATCCATAGTAAAACTGCGGTCCTTGTGGCATCAACATGGCTACATCATGAATATTGCACACTGTGCAGACTCCTTGACATTTCACAACTAGATTTTATTCATTGCCTCCCTCCTCAAGGCTTTCGGAATGACGAACATAGTAACCTTGTAAAATTGTTACACAAGCAACTGGATGGATTTTAAAAACAGTCAGACGTTGAAGGTAGCATTCAGTACTTTTTCTTTAGAGACAAGCGGAATTTGTATAGGAATTTATCTAAAATCTATAAATTGATATAAAGATGTGTGAATACAATTATGGAATATTGGCTATCTACTAATTGACTTCACCACATTTAAAAGTATGTTGATACAGATATAGGAGTGGGCAGAGATGCCATTTTTGTAAAAAAAAAGAAGTGCCTCTAACTGTATCCACAATCTGCAGATGCTAGTATGGTGGCACAAGACCATTAAGGCGGAAATTGGAATGTGTAAATTGTATGACAGACTTATTTGCATATTGGTTTCTTAGTTACAATGTACGTGTGAGAGGTGACGTTTATAGGATTGGACCAATGACGGACGCTTATTTTGTCGCAATGCACCACGTGACATTTGATAAAAACGTTTTCTTACGCGGTTTCCCTCATACTCATACTCAGAGATCTTGCTGGTTCCCCAGAGCCTGCTTTTGGGCCTTCTCACATCACGATCAGGTCAGTTTCCGCATTACAGAATTTTGCACGATAGCGATAAAAGTTTTTTCAAGTTCATGTAGAATATACATAACGCATCTTCGTCCGGGCACGTAGTATGAGAGTTTGTCCCTTGTTATTTTAAAACAAAAGCATGTCTATTTGGTACGACCAGATTTTGGTTGTTCAATCTCTCGATCATAGAATCATGGGCACAGTGACAAGAAATCTGCAGCAGAAGCAAGTGCAGTTTCTAAAAACCACAACTACCGTTTAGTGTCCCTCATGTTGGGTGTCTCCTTGCCATTGCTCTACTTCAAATTATCCACACAAAAAGATGTATTCATCGCCTATTTTCGCCATAACATGTTAGTAATCTTTTGATGGTACCGGTGAGTATCATTTTTGCTAACATTGAGATTTTTTAAAGATTTGACTCACTGCACTCATCTACATAAAAAGACGGCATAGTTCTAGAATTCATGGAGAAGACCAGCTTTCTTTTAAAGAATTCCTTGGGTCAAGATAGGCAATTTAGCGACAGAGGCTTTCAGCCGTCATACCTCATTTATTTAATAAAAAAAAATCAATGCATTTCCATAGGTCTAAACCTCTGCTTCAGAGAACGCATGTTTCAATCTGTGGTTTCTCTTGTAATGGTTTGTTCGCTCTTTTTGTCTGTATCCACAGGAAGTTTTAACTGCGCCCTATTGTACTGTGACGCAAAATGGAATCCCTGTCTATCGTCATCATCTTTACTTCGCTAGCAGTTAGTTTGGGAAAGGTCATTGATTTCACAGGGCAAAACTTAACAAGCGTTCCGATAGAGTCCATCACGCCAGACACCTATATTCTAAAGTTGTCAAATAACAAAATAAATCATCTCGGCTCTTTTAATCAAGCTCCTGAAATACGATACCTTTATGTCGACAACAACAAGATAAACAGCATATTTCCACAGACGTTTCAAGGGCTTCGTGAGCTAGTCTACCTTGATGCTGACAGAAATGACATAGCTTCTCTTCGTCGATTCACTTTTTCCACACTCAAGACTTTGACCAATCTCATCCTCTCACATAACTACATTTCTCACATGTCAGAACATGCTTTTCGCGGTTTGGAAAGTTTGGAGTTTCTAGAACTCTCAGGAAACCGTCTATCTGTATTTCCGATGCGGGCCATCAAATTAATCCCCAGTAAACATCTCTATGTGGTCATGCTTAGATTAAACAACATCAGCCACATACCAAAAGACATAAAAACGTTACGTCCTGGGGAGACTTCTTACGATTTGCGAGGAAACCCTTTAAGTTGTCCAGACAAATTAGACAGCATTAAGTCTGCAGACACATTTGAGGCCTATGAATACACAATCAACACTATAAATAATCGATCTTTCGTTACCAAAGGATATTTTATCAAAGAACGATTTAAATACTTCGGCATGCACCCCTCAGTCTTCAAGTTAACTGAAAATAATAGTATTCTCACAAAATTAAGCAATGGAATTGTACCTGGTTTAACCAAACGAGTTTCAATGTTTGGTAAACGATTACATTCCGCTAACTACTATTGGAACGCCCCTAGTGGACGCCTCAATATCACAAATCTTGTCATCATCAAAAACTTAACAGTAAATGACTCTGGTATCTACACTTTTGTAGCAGACAAAGGCAAATCAAAAGCAAAATATGATTTTTGTATTGTGTATGGTTAAAAAGCATAGCGAGAAACGGCAATATCTGACCACAATTTCAATGGCAACAGCAGACAAAAACAAAGCAGACAACTGTGCCACTTTTATAAATAAGTCCTGTTGTTTACCTGGGTTTCGTTTACAGTCAAGTGATTATAAATTCTGTGTTCCTGGCAACATTACTTTAGAAAGCACAAAGGCACCTGGACCTAACGTTTTGTTAATTGTTGCCATTGCCGTTTCTGCTATAATTGTCTTTTTGATGATTATTCAGGCTGTCGTAATGTGTTGGAGAAAATGGTCGAGTGCTAACCAAAATAACACTAACACGTCTCGTGCAACATTACACGTGGGGGTGCAAGCTATGATTGTCTGTTTTCCTGTCATACTTAATATAGCAGACAATTATGCAAAGGAAGAACTAGATCCGAACACTTTCTCCCTACGTTTTCAGTCGCACGAAACTACGTCAGTTGCGATTATAGAAGAGGCACGATCTTGTACTGCTGCTGACACGGCCATTACTACACAAGCCGAAATTCACCAGTACAGTAACGTTGATACATCTGGGGATTCTGGAGACGCTGAGTCCAATGAAGAAGAAATGCTGTACGGAATAGCAACAGCAAATTCGGTGTATGAAGACACAAACCTAAATCAGAGTAACTCAACATCACATTACCATGCGGTAAATGCAAATTTAGTCGAAATGACAGTTTCGATTCCAAGAAATAGCTTGTATGGACAGCAACCTGAAAACACCAACTCGCTACTTGACAGTACCGGTACTATCCATTCTATTCCAAGAAATAGCTTGTATGGACAGCAACCTGAAAACATCAACTCTGTGTGTGACAGTACCGGTACTACCCATTCTATTCCAAGAAATAGCTTATATGGACAGCAACCTGAAAACACCAACTCGCTAGTTGACAGTACCGGTACTACCCATTCTATTCCAAGAAATAGCTTGTATGGACAGCAACCTGAAAACATCAACTCTGTGTGTGACAGTACCGGTACTACCCATTCTATTCCAAGAAATAGCTTATATGGACAGCAACCTGAAAACATCAACTCGGTATGTGACAGTACCGGTACTACCCATTCTATTCCAAGAAATAGCTTGTATGGACAGCAACCTGAAAACATCAACTATGTATGTGACAGTACCGGTACTACCCATTCTATTCCAAGAAATAGCTTGCATGAACAGCAACCTGAAAACATCAACTCGGAATGTGACAGTACCGGTACTACCCATTCTATCCCAAAAAATAGCTTGTATGAACAGCAACCTGAAAACATCAACCCGGTTCCTGAACACACCAGTACTACGGAGGACTTGGGCATCCTGTATCGAAGTTGTACAGCAACGATAACGGACGAGTGACCAATAACAGCATTTCTATTCTAGTGCAGATCACCAGAAAATACTCGTAAGTCTCAAACGTAGATGAGATTGACGATCTAGTGAAGTCGCTCAAGTCGGTTCAGAAAATGTTCAAAGTAGAAAGCTGTAAACAGCAGTACTTAAATACTATGTATGATATTGCCATTTCAGTACCAATTAGAAGAAAGGAGGTACGTATGTTCAATACCCTTCTTGGTATTCTGAAGCTCATTGATGTAAAATGTGCACCTTTAAAACATGCAGCACTGTATTCTATATGGAGAGTTATTAAACCAAAGTCGGTGTCACACTTCTGAGTTGTCCTGTGTGATTCAGCTGACTTACAATGTATACTATACATGTATTTGCTGGTATGATTTTTGATTTACTAGTGTATTCCTAACTATTAATATATGGAGAAAATATTTCCAGAAACGTTCAAATGCCTTTGAGAGCTATTCCACCTTGATGTTGACAGAAATGACATAGCTTCTCTCCGTTTATTCGCTTTTTCTACACTAACGACGTTGACCAATCTTAATCTCTTACATAACGACATTTCTCACATATCAGAACATGCTTATCATGGTTTGGAAAGTTTGTAGTTTCTAGATCTCTCAGGAAACCGCCTACCTTTATTTCCGATGCGGACCATCAAGTTATTTTCCAGTAAACATCTTTTCCTCGAACACATCGCTGCTAACGTATCCTTGGAAAAAAACTGCGGTCCGTGTCTACATCATGAATACCACATACTGTGCAGATTCCTTGACACTTGACAACTAGATTTTATTCATTGTCTCTCTCCTCAAGGCTTTCAGAATGACGAACACAGTAACCTTGTGAACATACACAATGAAATTGCTCCACAAATAACCGGATGGATTTTGAAAACTGCCAGACGTTTCAGGTAGCATTCACCCAACACCTCACTGCAGAGCGGTAAATATAAATTCAGTCGAAATGACGTCGACCCTTTCTATTCCAAGAAATAGCTTGTATGGACAGCAAACTGAAAACATAACTCGGTATGTGCAAGTACCGGTACTACCCATTCTATTACAAGAAATTGCTTGTATGGACAGCAACCTGAAAACACCAACTCGCTACTTGACAGTACCAATACTAAACTCGCTACTTGACAGTACCAATACTACCAAAGACTTGGGCATCCTATATCAAAGTTGTCCAACAACGGACAATTGACGATCGGCAGTATTTCTATTCTAGTACAGGTCACCAGAAAATAAGTCTGGAACGTAAATGAGATAGATGATCTAGTGAAGTCGGTTCAGAAAATGTTCAGACAAAGCAGAAAGCTGTAAACAGTAGTAATACGTAAATACTATGTATGATATGCCATTTCAGTACCAATTAGAGGAAAGGCGGTACGTATGTTCAATACCTTTCTTGGTATTCTGAAGCTCATTGATGTAAAACGTGCACCTTTAATCCTCAAACACCCGAACTTTTTTTGTGACGTTAATGCCCGAACGGGGTCCAAATAGACCCCATTTGGTTTCTTTCAAATTTATATTCCTTTTTGCATCCTTTCAGTGATCTTTGCACATATATTGGTTAAACATATTAAGACGTTTATTTTGACATGATTAAGTGTTTAAAAATTCCAGCTCATTATTATAATTTATGCAAAAATAGGATGAGGCCTGCAAGCATGAACATGGGGTTGACCTTTGACCTTATACGATTGTCAAATTGCCAAACCTCTGAAAACCTGATGAAATAATTCCTTAGGTTGAGGTTACTTGGCAAACTGCATAATATTAAAGAAATAATGTTTCCTTGAAGACATATTGAGGGCATTCCTCGTGTGTAGGAAAGTGCAAATACATGGCTGGGGTCCTACATCAGACTTCCGTGATATTTTTTTTGAGAACAGGCGAAAATCAATTCTCGCGCGGATGTCATCCATAAAATTAAATCGGTGTGGCCTAATTGTGTAAAGATACATTCGGTCTACCTCAGGACTCGAAATGTAAGAATCACTTTTGTTGCATTTTTATGTCATTGTAAAAGTTTAATGGTGAAATCTTTTGCTTCAATTTGCTGCTTATAATGTTTCATGTCATTTGAATAAAATAATTACTGAAACGAGCATAAAACATCTTTGTGGTCTATTGTATTGGCTCTATAGTATACAATTGTCAGCAACTAACATCTGGAACCACAGAACACAAGGTTATGGGTCTAACTCCTGGCTATGTTCACCCATTTAAAGCCTTTAACATATCATAAGCATTTAACTAGTGCCGTGTATGGCTTAAAGTTACACATCATTCAGTTGATGCAAGATTGAAAAAGCAACAACTAACAAGATTATGATAAACAGTACATTACACCACCTGGTCAAGAAAGATGCTGATGTGCAATGGATATAGCCTCGGTGATGTCCGCTCACATGTACCTGTACAGTTCTATACAATTACAATGTCCATTCCGACACGCCACCGCTATGTAACCATCAGGAGTCAGGGCGACTCCACTGGCACACTCCCCTTTGACTGGTCCCAGTTTCTGTTTGAAAGTCCCGTCAGGCGCGAACACCTGCACACGGCCGTCTCCTGAGTTACCCACGATGATGTTACCTGCCGGGTCGGATGTTACACCAGTTGGAATCCTAAATTCGCCATCATTCTCCCCTTCCTTGCCAAAATCGAACTTCAGGTTTCCACCCAGGTCAAACGCGAATACTTTATGTGCGTCCTTGTCTGTGACAAACATCACATCACGGGACTCGTCTACCGACACGAACACTGGGTTCTGTAGCTGCCCCTTGCCGATCTCCCGGATGAGGGTCCCGTCAGGCTGCAGGAGGAGACACGACTTCAGCTTGTTGTCTGCCACCACCATGCGGTCGTCCTTCAGAACTGTCACGCCGTGTGGACCGCGCATACAGTCAGGCTTAAGCGTGTTTAATAGTTTGCCTTCCTTGGAGTAGCGTCTTAAGCCAAAATTTTCACCCCGCGACGTCACAAGAAACCTTCCCTCTGAGTCCACATCAATACTGTGCGCCTTCTCAACTTCAACTGGGAAGATACGAAAAGTGTGACCTCTGTCTTTATCGAAGATCCGAACTCGCTTGTTCCCTCGCTCCACAACTGCAATGTTACCGTCCTTATCAACAGCGACACCTACCGGCCTGTCCAGTTCTCCCACCCAACTGCCCTCCCCTGTGATAGTCAAAACGGGGTTCCCCTTCACGTCAACATCAAACGGACTTCCTGACACCTGTTGTGAGTTGACCTTGACCTCTAACTTGTGGTTACCCGTAACCTCAGGTGTGTACGAGATTTCCCACAAGCCCCTGCTCTTCATCTGTACTTGTGTCGCCAAGTTTGTTCCAGACGGGTCCTTCATGTCAGTTATGACGGCTTTACTGTTATTAAAACACGGGTGGCCTTCTTTGTTCATCGTCGTCAGCTCAGCGACGCACTGAAACCCCTGGACTGCCGGCTTCTTTACAGCAACTTTGCACTTCGAAACGTCGACGTTTGTCCTTACGCCACCGAAATTGTCAACTTCTGTCGTGTTCTCGACGAACTGAAACTCGCTCCAGTTGGACTCCAGGTCCCCTTCTTTTGTCAGAAGAGTTTCCACCCTTGTTTGGACTTGGTTTCCTACCTCCAGAACGTGCACGTCACTTCCGTGTTCTACAGCTTGTTGACAGAACGTTTGTGCGCTCGTCAGTCCGGCCAACTCAAACTCTATCGCAACCTTCTTTGCCTGTAGAGCCTTGCCGTCGGCTCGGCACTGTTCGTCAATCTGGCTCAAAATGTCCTCTTCACGCTTTTGAAGAAGGTCGGCAAGTTTGTGGAAGTACGCCTTGGCTTGGTCTGTGGCTGCTTCTTTCGAGGGGACTAACTTTGAAATCTTTCTGTCAACTTCCTTGACAGCGTCCTGTATTTCCTTCAGACGTGGGTTTATGTTTTGCAGAAGTCCTTGTAGTGTTTCTTTCCTCTTTTGAGCCTCGGTGGTGATTTCTACGGGATTGTGATCTTTGCCCGGCCGATGATCAACCACGGTACACGCCGTACAAGCAAACGCCTTGCAGCTCTCACAGTAGAAGACCAGTTCATGATTGTTGTGTTTTGGACAGTGTCGCTTGCGATGGAATTTACCCGCGTCTTTTTCTACCATGAAGGTTTCTTCAGAGACCACTTCATGATCTTTCGAATATGGAAACTTACGGTGAAGCAGTGTACATGACTCACACATTAAAATGGCGCAAGCCGCACACCAAGACTTCGACCCCTCCACGTTCCCCTCGCACACCTGGCACGGCACACCTGGCCCCGCCCCTTTCTTGGCCGCCGCGAAGTCCAGCAGGTTGTTGACGTAAAAGTTGGTCCTGAGTCCGTCCACACCTTGGTCTGGTAGCCTGACCGGTTCGCGGCAGGTTGGACACTCCAGCGGCTGTTGTTTTGTGGCCCAAAGCTGTAGACATTCCCTACAAAAGCTGTGCAGACATGGCAGGATTTTGGGGTCCCGGTAGTGCAGCATGCAAATCGCGCACGTCAGAAACTGGTCGTCCAAATCCTCTCGTGCTGGAAACTTACTGGCCATATTGCTTGTATGCGTCGCCAGAAAGGCACTTTACGCCAATACGATGAGTCCTTCCCTCACTCGGGTCGAGTACACAGAGGGCTCTATATTCTGTGCTGGGACCTATAATTTACTTGTTGCTGACGTAGTTTCCATCACATGATACAAAGTCGAGATAACGGCCTTTGCACCTTAGGCCGTGTTTATGTGAAGTCACCCAAGGCGCTTTACATGTGGTTTACCCCGAAGCCGGTTTCAAGTGGCTCCATCTGAACGCTCCAAATCACATTGAAAGCGCTTCGATCCCAAACCACTTCTAGAGGTGGTTTCGAATCGGTTTTTCCGCATCGCGATTTGCGTCTGAACGCAATGGGATTTCAGTGTAACTTCGCCTGGTCATGGATTACGGGGTGATATTTCTTTACTTATATGCAATACCAAATTTTACGTGGCAGCAACTTAAAGAGCAGTAATGGTCAAATAATGTGTCCGTTCTAGGACGAGCTTCACCGCCTCTGGCGGGACCACGTCGGCATTCGGCCGAGATACGCTGGGAGGGGGGCATCAGCAAGCAGGTCGTTGACCTATGACATTAATAACACGCTACCTATTGTGTTTTCATCAAACAACAATAAATGTAGCTCAAGCGAATTGTGTTCGGACACGGTTTCAAAGGAATGTGCACGTGGACCAGATGTGAGGAATGTGAGTTACCCGAATCGCGGTTTGGGTGACTTCACATAAACACGGCCTTACTTTACATGTTGCCAACCTGGCGCACACGTGAACAAGTCGTGTGTTGAAAGGACAGCCCGCGGCATTGAATAGTTACGTTCAACTTACTTCTGTTCAACTTAGTTCTTTTCGCACGGAACGATATCAGGTTATGGATTGTGGAAGCTAGTGAACTTAACACTGAAGTTTGCCAAGTCCCTACTGACATCCAAACTGTACAGACACTTCCTTCCACCCATAAGAGAGAGCATCAGCAGTCGCCACACCCGCTCTTCGAGTAAACTGAACTTACAACGCTGTAGAACTGATCGCTACAGAAATAGCGCTATTCCGCACATGACAAGACTGATAAACAATTCAATTTAATGGTCTTAATAAGAGCCCCGATGACCACTTGTTGAATAATGGAAGGTTTTAATTGTACAGTTAACTATCTTACTTGTCAAAAGGACCCTGATACTGTTTTTATCATCCAATGAAATTTTTCCAAAATTGGATCAGTTTATATTTACTTCTGTCAGTCAAGGTATCCCATCTAAGGCCACACCGATTTAATTTTATGGATGACATCCTCTGAAGACCCCCAAACTAGTGCGCGCGGGCGAATAAAAAAATTCCGGCCAAAAATAAAAATGCTACTAAACCACAGGAATACAAAGCTGGTATTGTGAATTTGCGGCAGTACTTAGCGACGTATACGACATGCTGGCTTTTTGTGGCATTTATGAATCAGCACTGTACGTATGTACTGAGTTCTTGAGTCGCGGAGCTTCGAATTCGATAGCCTGTGTGCTCGGCTCCGTATTGTCGCTAACTACCATGGACTACCCAGGCCTAGAGCCAGGTCAGAGCCTCAGTGGACGTGATCTTTTTTATTTTATTACTCCGTGAAGGAGGTCAGGACCTCCGGACGGAGTGTTGTGATCGGCTGATTTTTCATGTTCGCAGTCAAAACACTGGGTTCTCTTTGTGTAATCGGCACGCAATTTTATACGCCGTCTGCGGGCATGCCCGTGTTGATGCACGAATGTGTATTTTTGCCGTTGCTGCTATAATCTTGACCCCCTACACTAAATATCAATACAGCATAGGGGCATTGTGACTGTATTTCTTTGTTTAAGAATGCAAGATCAAATGTGAAAAATTATCAATCAAGGATACATTGTACAAACCTTAGAAATAACATTTTTTCCCTTTAGGTATCCCTCAAATGGCCTCTTTTTTGGCTCAAATTTTTAAAAGCTCTGCCCCGTAGATTCGTTGCTTCGCTCCCTCGACATGCGGCCAGTGTCACAACGCTAAAATTAAATCCTAGCTAGAACCCTGGTCTATATATATATATAGTAAAAACATTATAATAATACACAGACAGCACTGTAGATTGGAAGCAGTGTTTTATTACAACATTTGCATCAACAAAAGTGCGGTCGGCACAGCAGCTGTCTCAGATCAGATTGCTGTCTTGTTTGAGCAGCCATCTTCCAGCAGCCCTCAACGTCCTGTACAACATCCAGAGATGCCCACTCGTGTTGCAGAAAACACGCCTCCAAGAAATCTGTAAGGAATGGAGGAGAATAAAGACTCAAATCTCATCTTGGTAAGTATAGAAAGAGTAACCTACGGAGCAGGGCTCGAAACACTGTGGGTAAGGTGCACCCAAAATTGCAGCTGTGTGCACATTTTTTTTCTGCACCCAAATATTTTTGTAGGTATTTTTACATATTAAATGTATAATAGTATACAGGATGTTCTTGGCATCTAGGTGCCAGAAAAATAATAAAATCTTTCTTGTAGTACTTGCTCAAGATTTCAAGGTTAGCTCCCATTTCAGATTTGAGCTCAGAAGAGAAGCAGTAAGATCTCCAACTATGTTTTGTTTTATAATATATGATATGGTGCACCCCAAAAAGATTTTGTGCACCAAAGTCTTTAGGTTAGCACCTATTCCCAAAAATGAATTTCGAGCCCTGTATGGGGGAATGTTGCATAGCAAATAGAAATGATGCATGTAGAAATCTACGGATGGATACTACATAGAATGATTATAATTATGAGTGCTTAGAACTGGATACAGTATTACTGTGGTTACATAATTAAGGCCAGACCAATTTAATTTGCTGTTTCTCGTATTTTTTCTGAAAAAATATGAAGCGACAGGGCAAATGAAACAAAACAGGCCAAGGCAACCAATGATAGCCAGAAATGTTACAATATTAGCCATGAAGTGAACATACCAGGTGATTTATAATTTAAACAATAGATTTTGAACTTTCAATTAAACAAAAGTGCATTGTTACAATGAAAAACTTTAAGAATTAGATAGAAAAGGACTTTCTACAACCATTGGGGCCAAAATATGTCTTTCATTGAGCATTTTGCAGTTAATTTAGAACATTTTTTTTTGCCAATCTAAAAAAAAATGGACAGGCAGATCCGAGAAGCAACAAATTAAATTGGTGTGGCCTAAACTTAAAGGATGGAAGACGAAGGCAGTATGTAGAGGAATTCAGTGATCAATTACAACAGTCTTACATTTTCTGTATGTCCTTAAGGTAACCCCCTGGCCTAGACGCAATCTTCTGGCCTCTCTCTCAGACTCCAGCAGGGTGAGGATGTCCCCCTCACGGACGGGACCTTTTACATTCCTGATGATGGACCGGTTACTGTCGTCCATAAACTCCACACGGACCTGGAAATACAACATCAGACATAAGGCCACAGCAAGTAAATTCTATGTATGACATCCTCTGCAGACTCCAAATCTAATGCGTGTGGGTGAAAAAAAGGCGGGCAGAAAAACCACAAGGCTCCTACATTTTTTAATTTTGACTCAATCATTGTACAAATGGTTTTCATTCAGTAGGAACATCACATATACACAGTCACTATCACATATCACTGCATCAAAGTAAGAAACAAAACATTAAATCAGAGCCTTGTCTTGTCTCCTCTCTTCATAATTATCTGACATCCACCTTCCAGCATGGCAACAGATAGACATCTTTGCCCATTTTTGGCATGTTGACCATTGTCAGGAGGCAACAAAATTTCTTGTTTTTTTCCCAAAATCAGGCGTAAATTAATGCACCCGCTGATGTCATCCATAAAAATTACTTGCTGTGGCCTAACTAGTGATGCATACCGGTTCACTGGACTTGGATCCAGACTTGTAAGAATGTTTAGGTTCAAGTCCAAAAAAACCTAAAAGTCAAGAACCGAGTCCGGACTTATTACCATAAAAGACCATTTCGCATACCCCTTTTCTTTCCAAACCACCTAAAACCTCCCGTAGATTGTAAAATCTTTGCTGCAAAATGAAGAAAACATTGCCATCGGGCATCGTCAAGTACCGGCCTCCATGTTATGTGGCCAAAGTTTCACCCAGACAACATTGCAAGGTTGCCAACATGCAATTTTGTATAAGCCATGGGTTTAGGTCTGGACTTACAGGTCCAGAACTGAACCTAAACCTCTGGACTTGAATCTGGACCTGAACCTAAAATTGGGTTTAGGTATGCATCACTAGGCCTAACTCATGCTGTATGTGAATAAAGCAGCTCTTAGAAAGGTGGTCTTGTGGTTAGGGTTGTTGATTTACAATCTTACAATTTGGGTTCAAATTTCTAGCAGGCCTCAAATGTTCTGAGGAAATGATATTACACTAACTAGCAGTGTTCCTGCCAGCTTCTGTCTTTCCGTCATTTGACAATTTTTTTTTTTTTTGCTTACAATTGACAAAAATTGGGAACAGTTTGTCATCTTTGATGGACAAAATCGGCATGTAAGGATTTCAATAAAGTTTTTTTAACTAAGCTTTGTATATTAGCAATATGTGCCTCTTACTCTTAGGCAGGGAATAGTGTTTCAAAGGGTCAATATTTCAAAATACTATTAGTGTCGTCTTGGGTCTTACTCTTAGGGTCCTCTCAGTTGGTCAGACTCAGACTGACAGAGGTACTGTGTAAGAGGAATGCCACAGCTTCAGCAATATCACAACACAATTAGACGTACATGTTAAGTAGGTGTATATAATGTCGAGGTGGAGACTCCAGTACAATCAGTACTGTAATGCTACTGGTGCAGGAAGAGGTCCCGATCATCAGAAACTCTGATCTGATTGGTTTTCAACTTTGATTCACCTCACTTAAATGGAAGTCTATGTTAACAGAGACTCTGATCGGGATCTACTAGACTCTACTGATACTAGTGATAGTATCACCAATTCTACCAGATCGGTGTCTCTATATACAAAGCACATGAGAGAACATTAACCAAAGGCCCAACTAATTAACAGTGTTCGAAATAATGGGTGCATGCACGCCGTAGTGCACCCAATTTTTATCTGTGGGTGCTCCCAAATATTTCTGGTTTACGCATGTAAACTGTTTAATGTATAGTAGAATACAGCATATCCTGATCATCTTTTCTTAATAAACAAATAAATAAAAAAAAACATTCTACTTATTTTAGTTTATATGGTGCACCCAAAATATTTTTTGTGCACACAATTTTTAAGGTTGGCTACACCAGTGCACCTATTGCTAAAAGTGAATTTACTTCCAGTCCTGCTAAATCTTTACATACCTGTGTACACTGGCCCTGAGATCCAGTTCTTCCTAGAACCTTGGTCACCTGTTCAAGACAAAACAACATGGTCAACATCAAATAAGAATTTTCTTCATTATCTTTCCAAGGTTTTGAGAGTCCACGTCATAATTTTTCGACGTGACCCAAAACCACCGAAACTTGCAAGTCGATTCCTGTTCCTACCCCCCTCCCCCATATAAATTATTTTCTGTAGAAAATAAAGTTAAAAGTTACGAAATAATTTGAATGAATGAGATATTTGAGGGACAACTAGAGCGGAAATAGGACGAAGGATTGTATTGTGAAAGGCAGCTAAAAGATGTTGGTTGAGACACTTCACAGTTACAAATTTGTAGTTGGATCCATGTTGTCACACATGCACATGTCTGGACAGCATGGACATTTCTCATCTTTTAATTCGACTTTCCTCGTCTTCCGCGCCTTACAAATCAGACTGTAGATAAATGGACATGTATGGATTTTAATACCACACAAAATGAGCGCTACTTGACTACAGGAGGCCTACCCGAGCGAGTTTTTGAGGCGCTGCTCCCCTGTCCATTTTGACTGAGCAATGGCGGGTGCGAAAGAGAAAGATTGTCGGGGATTCCACGCTAAATTTCAGGGGTACAGAAGAGTCCAATATACTAACTAGGGGAGTGCGATATTGTTGGAAAATTATAAATGTTTGTAAAATTGCTGAACACCCAACACTAAGTATTGTAATCACCTAATAATAAATTTATACATGATATTAAATTTAATAATTTTTTCTAAATTCTTTATATCTTTATAGAACGTTTTCTCTATCATAGGGACATCTACCCCTATAATCTATATTGGTTGTGGCTATTGACCTCACAGGTGAAAAAGAGGGGGTAAACCATTTGTCATAAGGCGTAAACTTGTCTATCCTTGTAAAGGTTGAATGAAAAGCAAAAATTGACACTAAACATCATATTTATTATAAAGAAAGATAATTTCAATGTACATGCTCTGCCAGAAGGTATAAAAATGCAACAATAAACATATCATTGTCTTTGTTATGATGCATTAGCGGTTTGTCCCTAACATTGTACCGTCCAAGATGGCGACTGCCAGCCCGTTCATCAATTCGCTGAGAAATTTGCTCGCTGGGGTAAATATGGCGTGATTCTTGGGCCTGTATCCTTGATAGATAGATAGCTATAGAATTGGATAGTTCAATGATGACACGGGTTTGAGTTTCGGCCATGGTTCATTGTTGTCAATACAATATTTGGGAAGCAAGTGGGAGGGGCCTAGGGGGGGGGGGTATACTTGTGAAGGACGAATTTTTTTATCACAATATTTTTATGGTTCACAACCTAGAAAATCATCTGTTAAAGACATAGCAAGGTTGGCAATGGATACCACACTGTAACTTCTTTTAAAAAAACCCGATAAGATTTCGAACTCTGCTGTAGGCCACACCAATTTAATTTGTTGGTTCTCAGATTTTTTTAGAAAAAATATAAAGCGACAGGGCGAAAAAAAAAGAACAAAATTTAAAACAGGTCCAGGCATCCAATGATAGCTCCAAATGCTACAATATGTGCATGAAGTTAACACAAAAGGCTGGATTAATATTTAAACAATGAATTTTGAGCTTTTAATCAAATCACATTGATACTAGTAGATGGAAAAATACGAGCATAGTTAAGTTGATTCAGAAAGATTTCAAAAGATTTTGCAAATCAGAAAAAAATGAAGAGGCAAATCCGAGAACCTACAGATTAAATTGGTGTGGCCTTAGATGCGTCATGCGTCTGATTTGAACATACATGTAAATTCTAAATACTAGTATTTAAAACTTACCAAATTGAATGCATAATTTGTTTATTTTACTGTTTCAGGGGTCCCGAAAGATGCAGTTGCGATATGCTGAGGACGTGGCCACCAGGTGAAACAAGCAGTTCAAAACTTACTGCTTTTCTTTTTTTTTTTCTTGTAAAAATAGTTATACACATGATGTACTGTCAATTCGCACATAACAACAAAACAAATTCATAAACAACACAGTTTCACTTACTTGGCAGAACCTATCCAAACTACTGTAAATCACACTATATGTTTGTGGTAAGAAAATGGACATGTTCGCAGAGCAGCAGTAAGTTCACGGTGGCAGCAGGTGCAGCAAAAAAAAGTCCATAGTATGCCAAAAACTGGGGGTTTTGGGGGGTCTTCAGGTCATTTGGCTATGATTATAAGAGGGTCTGCATGGGGGGGGGGTGTCCTGGCAACAGTTAACGGTAAATTCAGCAGGCCCGACAACGCTTAACGGTAAATTCAGGACGGTTGGTAACGCTTAACGGTAAATTGACTGGCATTTTTTGTACGATTTTGATTCGGTATCTGATTTGGTGAGAAAGAGTGATCGCTGACGAAATATATGTAACGAAGTGTGCATTAAAGGTACATGTACTTCACACTAGTGTTCCCTATGCTCCCCACCTGCCTTGGTCCCAGAGTGTGTCTACAAATGCTTGAAGAGGGGGACCGAGCGCAGAAGGCGCGAGTCAAGCACCAAAGGCGCGAGCCTCATAAAGCCACCTCGTTCGCTACGCTCACTCGGTGGCTTTATTCGGTGGTTATACTTATGGCAACTGACAAGGCTTTATCACACCATATTCACCTCGGGGCGGGTCATTAACCCATAATTAATATAGCCCATAACGCTTAACGGAAAAGGGCATGCAGGCCCTCTTATAACTTTAACTCTGATCTTTTTCAGATCGCCCCCTCCAGTCAAGCTCCCAGAAGGCATTAGCCACAAACTGTCAGATAACTACTACCTGAGCAGGGACGGGCGGCGGCTGGTGGCTCCACCTGAGGTGGTGTACGGGCAGAGGAAACTCATCGCTCATGGAGAAAGGTATTTATTATGGGTTCACCACACCACGAAGTGGTGGTGAACCCATATTACTTTTTCTGATGTTTCTTCTCCTCCTTCTCCTTCTCCTCCTTCTTCTCCTGCCATTTTTGAAATGGATTCAGCTTCTTCATTTTAGGGCCTAAGGTCCTGAAATTTGGTATGGAGGTACAGTGGGCAAATACCCCTAGGCGTTTTTTAAATTTTTGTGATACAGGCTTTTAGAATGGTTTTATTTGAGTTTTTTGGCTGTGTTATAGCAAATGTATTACTGTGTTAGCGTGCCGTGTTTACCACGTCTGGGCATGAGTCATCACAATGGAATGCAGGGCATCAACCAATAGGCATGCAGCTTTCCTCTATACTTCTTGCTGATTGGCTGTTGGGATTTAACTTGATTAACACCTGCACAGAGCATTTCCACCTGCACAGAGCATTTCTTGCTGATTGGCTGTTGGGATTTAACTTGATTAAGACCTGCACAGAGCATTTCCATACTGACAGTATGTCTTTATTCAAGTGTTTTGGTAGGTATTTCAAGCTTTTCTGCTCCAGCATTGAAATGCGGGGCATGAACGTTTTTTTTTTTTTTTTGAAAATCAACAGTTTGCATTATGCAATTAAAAATCCTAACCAATAAAGTAGGGAATAGCTATCCAACTGTTGTTTTAGTTGTATGTTACTTCATCAGAGTTCGAAATACAAAGGTGCAATGTGCAAATTGCACTTGATTTTCAAGATTTGCACGTAAAAATATTTTGAATGTGCAATTTTGCACCTGGAAAATACCGATATATCAAGTCTACACTGCGTATCTTCGAAGTTTCTTGCAGTGTCGGCATCGCGCTTGGCGCACGGCAGCCATATTGTTTTCCTTACTGCACATCCTGGGAACAAGCTGTTCTCGTCCCCAGGCGAAGACGCGAAGGCATTACGTAATGATTTACCTAATATGGCAAGACGCGAAGGCCTACGTCGCTGATTTACCAAATATGGTGAGACCCGCGAAACTTGTTGCCCGATGTGGGACGAAGTCCTTCGGCGGAGTAATTTCGGCTTTTTCGTCCAATCTTCGGTGAAATTCGGTGAAAAATAGAGTTTTTGGATTTCCCGGCATTCAGTGCTACCCAGGAAAGTCGAGAAAGCATGAAGAAGGGGTCCATTTTGCAGTTCTTTTCAAGGGCCCAGCCGGCATCAGAGGCCGCGGCCGATGTTGACGACGCGCCCCCCGAGGAGGGGAGGGAAGCGCCAAGAATGTTTTGTTTGGTCCCTTCTTTGATGTATACTAAAACCTCTATAGGCAGTGGCAGGCTAAGAAGGTTAATACAGTAAATACACAGTAAAACAGTTGCAAACTAAAGATGCAAGGCTAAATATAATTTTGCACATAAATTTTTCAAATTGCACCTAAAAATTTTGCCAATGTGCAATTTTGCACGTACCTGAAAAAAAGTATTTCGAACCCTGCTTCATATTATAGTTATATCAATGTAAATCATTGTTTTCCCTTGTGTTTCTCATTCTTTCCCTGCCATGTCGTAAAATGTGGTGAACCCATCGCTGTATTTGCTCCAAAGCAAATATTGGCCTTTCTAGTTTTATTTTATTTTCTGTCATCTTTTTACAGGGTGGCCCATTAAGTGATTACACTTCTTTTCAATGGGGCCCTGTTTTACACAACAGTCACATACAAACAGTAAAATAGGGATACAATAAATAATGATAATGGCAATAATAATAACGGAAAAACAGTAAGTAACCAATAACATTAAGAAATAATAACAAAAAGTAGAAATTGTCCAGTCCAGTCATTGTCCAGTTCAAATTGTTTGTAAGGTGGGGTCAGAGGTCAGGCCAATTTTTACATCTCATTTTAAAAGTGGACATGGACGGGCAGGCCTTTAGATCATGTGGCAACCTGTTCCAGAGGATAGGGCCTCTATAGGAGAACTGTGAATATGTTTCCTTCTGTAACAAATGTAAGGCCGCAAGTAAATTTTATAGATGACATCCTCCGCAGACTCCAAATCTAATGCAAGCGGGCGAAAAAAAACAACAAGACAGGCCGAAAAAAACAAGGTTCCTACATTTTAAAATTTTGACTCAATCATTGTACAAATGGTTTTGATTCTGTGGGAACATCACATATAGACAGCCAGCATCACACATCACTGCATCAAAGTAAGAAACAAAACATAAAATCAGAGCCTTTTCTTGTCTCCTGTCTTCATAGGTATCTGCCGTGCACTTTCAGGCATGGCAACAGACATCTTTGCCCATGTTGACCACTGTCAGAAGGCAACAATTTCTTCTTTTTTTTTCAAAATCAGGCGAAAATTAATGCACGCATTGATGTCATCCATAAAAATTACTTGCTGTGGCCGAAGAGAGACACCTTGCAACAGTTTTGAAAAGTGCATATAAACATCCAGATCCTGAAGGTCACTCTTCACTGCAAAGCTAAACTAATTTATACCTAAAAGTCTACTGATCATCTCAGAGGGAGAAAAGTACTGCACAAACTTTTTCCTTGTGTAAGAGAGACACCTTGCAATATTTGTGAGAAGTGCACTCTTCACTACAAACTATAGCCATGTTTGGGACTTAAACACAAGTTGGAAAGTCGTAGTTAGAGTGTTACATTTTTGTACTGTTTATCATATTCATCCTTCAAGTTCTATCAGTTTGTTTGTAATGATGTTTGGTTAGGGTACCAAGGTACAATGTACAATGGTAGTGCTGGACTTGGATCCGGACTTGTAAGAACCTTTAGGTTCAAGTAAAAAAAACCTAAAAGTCAAGAACCGAGTCCGGACTTGTTCCCATAAAAGATCATTTCACATACCCCTTTTCTTTCCAAACCACCTAAAACCTTCCGTAGATTGCAAAATCTTTGCTGCAAAATGAAGAAAACATTGCCATCAGGCATCATCAAGCGTCAGCCTCCATGTTATGTGGTCAAAGTTTCACCCAGACAACATTGCAAGGTTGCCAACATGCAATTTTGTATATGCCATGGGTTTAGGTCCGGAAAGTCCTGATCTGTACCTAAACCTATGAATGAATGACTTTATTTCAGGAAAAAACCCATAGTACAGACAAGGACCACATAGACACTAAACACACAACAATCTATATACATGTTTAAAATATTTGTTCCTGAATTGGCAGTCTGACCTCAATATACAGCGTATAATGCTATTGTTGGTGGTGTAGATTCTATTAATGAAAGCATAACACAATTTCCTGCGCCTAGCATCGAATGTATCGGTCGAGAGGTGTACAAACATTGAACTAGCGCTACAACCTCTCGGCAACTTAAGGAGAATACGAAAGCAATTATTGTATGCAACACGACACTTAGCTAGTACACTCGCATGAACAGAGTTCCATAACTGGACTCCAAACAACTGAGAACAGTAGGACATAAACAAAGTCTTTTTCACAACGGGCGAACAATGATAGAATTTACGATTTATACAATTGGTATGGCGATATAGGCGTCTAATTTCAACTCGAACACAGTCATTGTCACTTAACTTCGCATTTAAATGAATACCAAGATATACAAAAGAATCCACATATTTCAACTCAATATTATAAATTTTCACGGCGGGCAGAGGCTGCTGGAGTGGAAGGCCAGCGCTCGGAAAGTACATACAACAAGTTTTATTTGTATTAAACAAAATATCATTTACCTTACCAAAATGTTCACATATCCAAACCAGTTTCTGAAGGGATTTAACACTGGGGCAAATCAAACACAGCTCATCGGCGTACAGCAGATGGTTTACAATAAAACTGCCAACGCGACAGCCAACTCTGGCATTTTTCAGTTTTAGACTAAGATCATCAATATAGATGTTAAATAGACAAAAGGCTGCCTTGTCGTACCCCATTGGAGACAGTGAACCGGGTTGACAAAGTAGAACCCCATCTTACACACATGGTCTGGTTCTCATACCAATAGACCAGAAATGTACATGTACCTAAAATTTGTTAACGTACACAGCTGTAGTGCCCACTATCAATGTTCAGGGTCTGAAATACTGGCTGCATGTGCACCTTAGTGCACCCAAAGTAGGAGCTGTGCACCTAATTTTTTTCTGTGGGTGCACTGGTGCACCCAAATATTTTTCTAGGAATTTTTAACATTAGAAATGTATGATAGTATACCGGATATTCTCTAAGTATCAGAAAAATAATAAAATCTTTGTTGTAGTACTTGTTTTTAAGATTTTGAAGTTACAGTAGCTCTAATTTCAGATTCAAGCTCAGAAGAGTAGCAGTAAGATCTGCAATTAGGTTTTGTTTCATATGGTGCACCCCCCAAAAATTTTTGTGTACCTAATTTTTTAGGTTGGGTGCACCAGTGCACCTATTCCCAAAAATGAATTTCGAGCCCTGATATTTGATCTCTTCTGTATAATACAGTAAGCTTGTTGGGCACTCTCTTTGTAACTCCCTTATCAAATGGCAATTTTGAGCAGTTGAACCTATTACCAAAGAAGGCAGCTGGTTAGCAAAAAAACAACTCATTCTTCAGTTTGTTTTTTACACTGTCTTCTGTCCAAACCCACACCAAACATACTCAGTACATGACATCAAACGAACTGGAGAATAAATCCACTAATTGAACTTTATTTTCAGTATCATTTTTCACTGACTTCCAGTCATAACAAATACAGTTCCATTTGTGTAGACCCTCCCTTGTTTTTGTGTAGATAAAAACTAATTGAGCAAAACGCAAGCAATGGTTTTAGTGGCTATTTTTAAAGCAAAGCTCTTACCTTGCATGACTCTTGGTCAGTTGATGATTGGTATATTCCATTTTTTTATATTTTGTAGTGGGAATTTCACAAGCACATCCGTATGTTTGTAAAAGTCTGGTGCACAGTAAGTGTAGCTCTGATGACAGATACAGAATATTTGGCATGGTGGTTTTGTGTTAGAACAATTCAAACATGTTTTGCCCTAACCGCGTGCACCGCTTTCAAAAATTCAAATACAAAATTCGGATGTTGGAATTGATGTTGTTGCATTTTTTTGGGTTTAGGTACACCAAATTTTCGCTCATTTCGCATTGAAAGGCGTGTTTTCTTGGGTGGGTATGACATAAATGAAATACAACACAGTGTATTCCGCATCACCCTCGGTCCCAGCCCTCCCGCAGATCGGATCTCCCTCCGGCTTTTGGCCGCTGGGCAATCCAACGCGTGGTCGGGCCGATACCTCGGGTGATACGGAATACCCCGTGTTGTATTCTATATATACAGTATGTATCAATTCATGCTACAAGTACAAGTCCTCTCTAAACACTTGTTCTACTGTCTCCTTCTGTTCCCATCACAGTGCAGAACAAGCTGCTCCACCGAAAGCAAAGAGACCTCCCATTCCTGGGGACGGACTGTCCTATGTGTGGAAGGAGATGCCACCGCTGCAGTAAACACAAACAAACAAACAAACACAACTAGACGGACATTCGTGGTTTTGAAACAACTGTGTTCAACAAAGTGTCAGAACAATTCCGCCCAGTGATACCTGAATTTGGACGAATTGTCTTTTAAGTTCAAACATGGTACATGGTACAATGTATTTCAGATTGCTTGTTTTCACCACAAAAACACTACCTTAAACATCAAATTTGTATTGTATAGCAGTGAGATGGTTAAATTCAACAGAATTATGTTTGGGTTCCAAGTGTAAAGAGTTACATTTGTATATGTTACAGTGGCTAGAAAATAAAAGAAATGACCTATATATCATAAACCTCTTTAGCCGTCTGATGATTGAGTTACCTTTCTTGCTTGTTTGGGGCTCAGTGATTGGTTGAACAGTTAGTTTGTTGATCGGTTGATGTGTTATTTGATTGATGATTGGTTGGTTGGTTGAAGTTGGTTACTTGCTTGGTTGATTGCATTATATGTTTTGTCCAATCAGGAACAAGGTTAAAATAACAGGTCCAAGATTGTTATTAAGAAACAGAGCGTAAAGATGCACCTGTAAATTTAAACATGTCCAAAGTTCAAACTGTTAATTGAAGAATACAAAGGAGTGCCAAATACATCATCGCTAGTAGTACAGACATTGGCATGCATGGGTCCAAAGTTGAACCTGCCTGGTACTCATCTGGGAGCGCCACCTAGCTGAAGCTATCATAACTGTAACTGGTAACCTGAGGTGCCATTGTCTCCTCGATCACTCTCCACAGCCTCCCGGTAAGTAATTAAAGGTGACCAGCTGCCTGGTAGCGGCGAGGCCGCGCACAGGTCACGGCAGACCCCCGGCCCGGGTATCAGTGTCCGTGTTATTGATGTCGGCACCGCGGCACAAAGCTGACCCCAGATTCGTCACGCATTCCTGTCGGCATGACAACTCCAACACTCAAGGTGACGCGCTCTGCCCACACCGCCTGGTCTGTGGAGTACTTTTCCGTTCCTCTCTTCACTTGGCTCGCTTTTCAAGAGATCACACGGAGGGGTTTTACGTTCGCTACTTTGTACATACTGGAAGAAAAGCTTGACATAGGGATGTGTGTTGATGTTGGCACGTATATATATTTAAGGCTAGTGTTACATACTAGTGTAAGTATGGACGTAAAATATATGGTGCACGTTAATCGGTTGGCCAGTTTGCCGCGCGTTTTCCCGTGTGAAGAAAATGAGGGACGGTATGTGCGAGGAAACGCGATCTTCCCCCGCTTGTCTTCGTGGAGAAAACAATTTGGAGCGCACCTGTTGGAGTCACGCGCGGGTGTAAACGGCCACCGCAGCCGCCCGCCCAGGTCCCGGGCCCGTACAAATGAGCCAAAGATGTCCGGAGGTACTAGCCTGGTAACCACACCATCGGGAGCTCCCGATATCTCATCGGCGCTGGGAGTTCTACCCGCCCGCCTATACCCATTACCGCATGACGGGAATATTTTTAGTTTCTTTCGGTCGCCCTCGAAAGGGCGGCAGTAAGAAAAACAGATAAGATATTAAAAGAACTTTATTGCACGACAATTACAATTGCACATGGTACAATGTATGGCAAACTACATAAAGAGAGTAACAAACAATAAATGTGTTGAATTAGACCTAATGTGGAATAAAACCTAACATATCTTAATTACTCAATAAGGGATAGCACAAGTCTTTGATTAAGTGTTACAATGGAGTTGGCTAATCACAAGTTTCGGAATTTTTTTCTAATAACAAAGCATGCAGTCCTTTATATATTTACCTATTTTTGCGTTGTGGGAACTATTACATGTTAGCCTCTACCAGGCTTGGGGAGGCGGCTGGAAAGAGTAGAAATTGGCCAAATAGAGAGATATTATATAAAGCATGCCAAGGGAGTTTGTCCGTTGAGAGAACATTTCGCCGCACGAAATCTACTCTTTCCAGCCGCCTCCCCAAGCCTGGTAGAGGCTAGTTACATGTAGGCTGTCAGAAGGAAAGGCTTATACTCAGTATCCTCAAAAACTGGCCCGTATGAAATGGTAACAGGTACGATGTAGGACGGTAGAAGGTCTGACCTGAAGGCCGGCCCGGATTTTCACGCAATTTTCTCCACACGTGCGAGATGCACGCAACCGGCCCACAAAAGAAACAACTCGGCTCGCTCGCGGCCGGGGTCGGCAGGCTAGGGGAACTTGGCAGTGATGCTCTGCCAAAACAAGAGTTTCTAACATGCCCGTAGCCAGGATTTTGAAGTGGGGGGGGGCTCCTTCCCACTGCTTGAGGGACCAGCGAACGCCGAAGGCGCGAGGTCCTAGGGGGGTCCGGGGAGGGGGGATGCTCCCCCGGGAAATTTTGAAAACTGAACCTTCTTAAATGGCATTTCCTGACTTTTTTTAGGGGATTTCAAAGACAAAATCAGAGATAACTTTTTTCAATGAAAACTGAGCCGTTTTCCTACGATTCCAGCCTCGCTGGTGACACAAATCAGTTCAGGTTGGTGGTAGCGACTGTGGGAGTGGACGTTAACTAACCAGGATGGAACTCATGCTACTCTGATCTACCTTGACACATGTAACAGTTAGGGGTAGTGTCGTCATGATTCGCTACTTCCTCAACCTGACAAAGCAACACCAATTAAGAAGTTAAGGCATAATTAATTATAAGATTAAGTCTGACGTAAGCATGTCGGCCTCCAAAACATGCGATAGAAAACTTAACACGTACTAAAAGGTGATTCACCCAGCAGGTGTTAGTAAAATAAAGATGTTACTCTCACATTAAAATCTTAAAAGCATGTCTGGCTTAGTGGGTTTGCTGTTTGCGCGCAATTGCCTTCTGGAGGGTGAAGGCAATTCTCACGTAGCTTTTTTTTTTCACGTAGCCTATTCCAAACACATGGTGTATGAAATGATGACGAAAATACAAAGAAGTGGCTGTAAATGTCAATATCAGACAAATTTCCTCATCCAGAATATGTTTCTCTTTCCGCCCTGAAATTGCATTGGACGCGGCATCACAATCACACAACGGCCGTCAGGCCACAGCAAGTAATTTTTATGGATGACAACAGCGCGCGCATTAATTTTCGCCTGATATTGGGGAAAAACAGCAAGAAAAAGGCTCTAATTTAATGTTTTGTTTCTTACTTTGATGCAGTGATATGTGATGCTGGCTGTGTATATGTGATGTTCCCACTGAATCAAAACCACTTGTACAATGATTGAGTCGAAATTTAAAAATGTAGGAACCTTGTTTTTTTCGTCCCACCTTGTTTTATTTCGCCCCCTCACATTAGATTTGGAGTCTGCGGAGGATGTCATCCATAAAATGTTCATGCTGTGGCCTTAGAACGTCTGAAGTACCGAATCGTCAGCCCCGGGTAACCAGGTGCCCTGAGCGATGTTCTGACAAGCCTGTTCGTGTGTTGAGGACGGGAGGTTGGAATGCGTGACCAACCCGGACCAGACTCACACAGCGACAGGCACGTTTTCTCACCCACCTGTCACGCGAGAACTGTCGCGGCAACGCCGTAATTAGGTCGTAAATTACACCCGGTTTACACGGCGCCAAAATCCTAGTGTACGAAAATTGCGTACGGAAATCGCGTACGAAAATTGCGTACGCAAGGGTTTTCCCTCCGTGTAAACCGGCCCCAATTTGCGTACGCAACTTTCGTACGCAATTTTCGTACGCCACCTCTAGAGGTGGCGTACGATCAGCGGCTCGCCCAGCGGGGAGTCTCCGTGCCTCCCAGCCTCATGTAAAACAGGAAAGAACCTCTTTCTTGTTGCAAATTCCATTCTTTTCCCACGTTTGTACCAGCCACGCCGTGTTTACTTGTTCAATTCTCCGCGTTTCATTTCGTTTTGCTTTCCCTTTAATTCTCTGTTTCAATTGTACATGTTTTGATTTAGTAAGCTTTTTGCTGACTGTTCACTGGGCACGTCAGAAGGGCGTAACATCGCAAATTGGAGTATGGATTAAAGACAGGATGAAAAGCAAAATAGAGTCTGTTAGAAAGAAGGAAGTATATGAGGACATTGCATGAGACATGGAGACTACAACCAAACTACAAAACTGCTGTCAAGTACGTCCATGGCGGCAGGTCAAAATGGGGTCACGATAGTGTGGGACGGGGCGCAGCGGGAGTCCTCTGGCTCTCCCTGTCGTTGTATAAACAGAAATGACCGTACGCTCGCGTGCGTACGCAATTTTCGTACGCACGGATTTTGTCGCCGTGTAAACCGGGTGTTAGTCGTACCATTTGACAACCAATTCGCCGTAACATTACCAAGAAACTACAAGATGTTTGAAACGTTCCTTTGTGCCTGTTTTAATATTGACTTTCAACCGTTCTTTCTGGTTTCAGCCCTAGGGCCAAGGGCCAAGGGCCCTTCCAGTGACCATTTTCAGTAAGAATTTTGGTAATTTTTGGTCCATGAGGATCAATATACATTGGGATAATGTGGTTTCAACTCAGTATGTAGATAAATGACTAGAATATTGGCTCTGAAAAATCGGGGTTGCAAGCCCTAAAAACTGCACTGGATGGTCCTGGATATGTTCGAAGATCTACGACACGCGAGTGTTTGTAATTCCGGCCTGTGCACGAATCAAGAACAAGGTTGAACATCAACCCATCACAGTAGGACAGAAGTTTGGAAACATTGCCAACTGTACAACGCTTCTTGACAGTAAACAGTTTCTTATATTATCCTGATGAAAGCGACAGTGGTCGTCGAAAATTTGATCGCTCTGTAACCCTTGTGTTGGAATAAAGTTCAATGTTTTACTATGATTACTACCAACACAGATGAACTTTCATGAGAATTTCTTAGATGTGACGATTATATTTCAATATAAAAGGTGCATTGTAAAGTGGTTTTTGCTTATGGTGTCCAGATATTGTATATCAAAATCATAACAGTTTAATCATTAACATGCCAAACGATGAAGTTATTGTGTTTTTTTATCTAATGCGGTTCAATGATCATGATTAAATCTTATATTGAAGTCCATTTGT